CCCCCCCCCCCCCCTTTCTCTCTCTTTCGTCGTGAGTGCGCGTCACGAAAACCACTGATTGCGTTTCTCCTTTTGTCACTTTGCTCGCTCACTCTCCTTATCTCTTGAAAATTTCGCACAAACAATTCAACGCTATCGTTACACGAGATAACTAGCAATATGTGAGATAATAATTTATTTAAGAAGATAATTCTCCCTCGTATAAGATCCGATTTATCTCTTTCATCTCGGCTCACCTCTTCATTTATATTAATTAGTTTCATCGCCACCGGCGAATAAATTGAGATTTATTAAATGAGAAAACGTCAGACCGCGGTCGGATCGAGACGGTGAACTAACGAGAGGATACATAACGAGAAAATTTGCATCTCATCTCGCTGCGGCCGCCGTTTTATCGCGACGTATCGCCGGCTCGCATCGTGCTCGTTCTCGTCTGTCGACGCGCAGCGTCCACCAATTACGACTGCGCGCAGCGCAGCGCTACACGTAATACGCGCTAATTATTTTAACACCGTTACGTAATCATCGACCGGACGGTAGTTTTTGGTCGGCCTTTTCTGTCAAGGAGAAGTCGGCGTTCCTCGAGATCTGCGATCGTCAAGCGTGCGTAGAAGAAGAAAGTAAATAGATGATCGAACATAAGGATCTATCTCATTCCGCCATTCGTCGATACAATTATGCATAATTCGCGCAATAAGACCTGATCGAAGACGCGTCTTCGTTGATCCTCGTTACGGTACGCGCCCATAGACGCGCTCAGAAACGCGTTATTTGCGACACGACGCATTCTCAGTTAATAATCCGCGATTTCGCACACTTCCAGATTTGCATACCCGCTTATTTCACCCACGGTTTTCTATTTCTCACTTTTTTCTTCCTTCTTTACGCGAGACCTTTCAGATTACTCTATGCGGAGTAATCTTGAGTAATCCATTAGATGAGATTCTTTTCCCTCTCCTTTACTCTGTCTTTCTCTTTCTTTAAAACCTGTTCTTTATGCGTCATCATAAATTGATAACACGCACACGTCAAATAATATGCATTACCATTTTTCGTAATGTACTCATTCGCGTTTACATGCACCTGTTCCGATTTTTACCTCTCGTCTATCGCATGTAACGATATTTCCCATGCGCTTAATAAGCGTTTTACTCACATACTTGTCTTAAATATATATCACCTTCTCTCTCTCTTCCTTCCCTTCGAGCCAAACGGTATCCGTTTCGAGCTGTATCCTCGAGTATCAACCTTGTTGCCTCGTGGTGACTCGTTTCCAGTGACACTACTCGATAAGCGTATCTTCTCGCAGGGTATATCCCAGTCGTCGATGTAAATCATGGGGCAATGACGTCGACTCTTATCCCCACTTCATTTACAAAGTAAACATCTTCCGTATGATAAGGTTAAAGCAGCATGTGCGTTATAATTAACACATTTTTTATCTTCCTTTTTTCTTACGAAATTCTTCAAGAATCACGTTTATATTGAATTATTGGATTCTATATTAACTCTACAAATTTCGTCAAATTTAAAAAATTAGTGAAGAATCTCAAGAAACAATATGATATGATACAATATGATATGATTATTTTACATTGACGTTATAAATAGTTACTTATTATTCTTTTCTTCGCGTTAAGTCTTAACGAAATATTTATTTGAGAATGACTTAATATTCGATTACTTCAATATTATACATGTATTTTATTTTTATTTTTAAATAATCAAATATTTTCAGTAAATTTACCAAATATTCATAAGAAAATAAAAATATATAGATAAAAACATAAGAAACATATTCATATTTAAACAAATTCATATTTAAAAACATATTCATATTTAAACAAATAATCTATAAAATAATCTATAATCTATAAAAACAAAATATCTATAAAAAGGTTAAGAAACAAAAAAATAAGAGAACGTTTCATAGAATAAATACTTGGGAATATTTATTTATTTATGATATGATTTATGATATATATCACTGTGCGCCTGCGTCCAGATTTCTCAATTCAGCATTTCGTTCGTCGTAGCATTTCGGACTTTAACTTGTAGCGTTGACATTGACATAGATACAATTTAATTGGAGAAATACATATTAATTAACATGATGCCGACGAGAACCCGATTGAATATTTCAAGAGACAATGTATTTTAGTTACTCAACGAATATTATAATGCACGTTTATGTACGTATCCACGTGGATACGCGTCGTTTGCGACGCAGCAAAACGTTCAGTCGTAAAAAAGTACGCGACGTACATGAGAATCAAAACAATGGACAGAAAGAGCAACGTCATCTTTCGTCGGTTGCTAATCGTCGTCGCCTATCACGGCCGCGTGAACGGCCGAGTGCGATCAAAACAATCAACGTTTTCAAAACATTCCGGACCTTTAAGGAAGTTAAAGGATTTATCTTTGTGTCTCGCAAACTTTTTCAGATGTTCCATTCAGTCCTGAGCCAGCGAGCGACACGCACACGGGCCGCGTGTATAGTGCGTTAGTTATTTTTTCTCTCGGGCGATTAAAATATTCGTCGGCTCTTGAAATAGACTAATCATGTTCTCGTCGGCGTCGTGCCACTCAACTTTTTCGCTACCAACATGTCTTTTTTCCATCATTAATAATATCCAATTGAACAAACAACTTTTTGACATTCAAAACATATCAGCTATCATATCATTTATTACTGCATTGAGACAAATATATTTAAAAACTTCAAAGGGACATCAGTGTCCTGACTCTATTTTTTTGCTAAAACTATATTATATTAATGTATTTAACGAAGTGAAAGTAAAAAAGTAATTGTATTTTTAAAAAATAAAATTGGTAGCGAAAGGATTGACGCGTGTATATCTGTCTGATCGAAACGTGTCAGTGCCAGTGTCAGTGCCACGACAGAGTAGCCAGGATGCTGGATCGAGGAACCAGAATAGAGCACGCAGCGATGTCCAAGGTGTGTAAAATAATTCATTATATAGGAGTTACCAAATTTCAACGGACACACGAATTGACGAATTTAGATTAAACAGATATACGAAAGTATCTGCGAAAAGTTTTCGGGAATATAAAAGAAATCCCGAAGTGAACGTTGATACCTTTTTTTCGAACTTTTTTACTCGATTTACTAGGAAATTGCGGAGAAGTACCTCATCGCGACTCTATGCAAAACAGAGTCGATCTCTCGCATCGTATCCGTCCGTATCTGACGACGTTAGAAATCGACTTTGAGGAAAGTCGCTCTTTCTCTCTCTTTTGCTCTATTCCTCGATAGCGTTACAGCGAGAAACCTCTCGCGGTCACGTTTTCACACGTCCGCGCATTAAACGCGCCGCGATCGCATGACGAACCAACCCCGTTCCACCGATTTCTATGCACGCGCCAGGCACCATCGGTCATTTGTTGTCCGCTCCGTCGAGCAATTCTGCTCCGCGGCTCCGTGAAAGTTGCATCGCTCGCGCGGCATGTGGTACATTCGTGCGGTATGAGATCGTGAGTTATGTTCGCGAGCATGATAATTATCCGCAACGCCACTGTGAATTTTTACCTTTTTTTTACGATGCCACGTGGCATTCTCTCTGTCTCTTTCTTCTTCATCGCCATAGCTTCGCCTAACAAAAGCGCACTTTCTGTTCACTTGCTCGCCGGCGTAGTTAGGAGTAGACAGTCATCGATCTTTTCTACTTCGTAAATAACATCAATAAAGCTCCGTCTATGGGTCGTTTGATTCAATTGAAAGCCGACTTTTTCTCAATGGAAATTTCATTAGACACGATTTCGATCTCGGAGACGTCACATGTTTCAGTAATTGCTCATCAATTAATATCATGAAGAATTAAACAGAGAAATTGAGAAACTACTCGCGAATATGTAGTAGTTTTCGTAATCGCGCGGGAAAGATACAGATAAATTCCTTGTAATCCACTCGAGATGCGTCTTCACCGAGTTGAATCATTCAACTTATTGCATAAAGGAATATTTCGGTTGGTTCTACTCCCCTCCTTCCTTCCCAGGTGTGCTAGCACGGCAGAAATAGGCGTAAGCTTCATCAAGTGTTAGCATGGATTTCGCGTGCGCTCTCGACGCGTTACTTGACTCAGTCGTTGGCATGCTGCCTGTTCAATGTCGTCACGCGTCGTTTCGAACTTGCAGCTAAAAAAGAAAATATCCAACCATGAACGTAGCGCAACCTTAGCACCTTTTGCCATCTTGTTCTCTCTCTTTCACGTCTCTTTCCGCAACGTTAGCACATTGTTCCGGACACCAGCCGCATGCCGGTCATGCAACCTGCATTCTTTCTTAAGAGTCACCACAAACAAATGTGTCCCAACATTTCACTCCAGGAATTTCCCGACCATTCTCATTGGTTCCCCAGTATAAACTTTGACTTTCAAATGCATCGCGTTAGGAGAGACCAAGGCTAGTTGGCTACTGGGGTAAGTTGGCAAAACCGGTTATTTCTAGTATTTTCTAACAAGTTACAAAATTAAGTAAGATTTTTAAACATTTTTAAACATATCGAAGATAACTTTGAAATTTTTGCTTGCTTAATTCTGAAATCTGTTAAAGAGCAATAGAAATAATTTTGCCAACTTACTCCGGTGGCCAAATAGCCCCTTATACCCGCAACAGGTCACTATCATGACCGCATCTCCTTCTTGGCGTCATTGAAGCTTCAAATTTTCCGTATCGTAGATTCACATCGACGCGCTTACGTCTCGACTTCGACAACCGAGGCAATTGCATCTTTATCCGTTTCTCGATCGAGATGTGTATCTGCAATCGCATATTTTTAAGCCGAGCGCTATTTCAATATAAACTGTTGCACTTCACAATCAAACTCATACCTACAACCTGAAACTTCCGACATTGCAGCGTCGCCGTGATGCTTTTTAAGAGCCGTCGCGACGTCACGGTCCGTTATCACTTATCGTTCGGGAGGGCGGTGAAAGAGCGTCGGATACAGCGGAAGGGACAGGACAGGAGAGGGGAGGGTAGTCGAGGTACATCGCCTTGGTAGGGAAAGGGAGGGGGTTGATTCATCGCAGAGCCGCACTCGGCTTCACGCAGTCGTAGAACGAATCTCGTCCGTCCCGATCCTGGATCCGAGCGCGTCCAGCCAGTTACGCGTCTTCTACGCGAAAGTCAAGGACGCGGACGGGGTTCCGGAGCTCTCCGACCTTCGCGAACGCGCGCGTGCACTTCGAGTCGAGCGTGTGTTTCGCCGAGGTCAGTGTGCGTGTCCCGAGGGAGAAGATCTCGTGGTTGTGTCTCCGCGTAATTTTCGCGAATTAAAAATCGAGCATTTCCGAGTGTTCGGTCCGCTTGTAAATTTTTTTTTTTTTTTTATTTTCCGATGAAGGGAAGACTTTGTCTCTGAATGTTGGGCTTTCGAAAAAATTATCGTCATTATTGTCGAAAGAATAACGAATCCTTCAATCTCGATTATTGCGTAACGTAAAATAATTTGCACATTTGTAAATTCGGTTAAAATTATATTCAGAGTGAAGGATCGCGCGCGAAAGCGGTGTCTGCGGTGGAGGAAGTTTCGGATATGTTACGTAGGTTAGGAGAACTTCGAAAAAGGATATTTCGGTGACCACACAGTGAGTCATGCCTGCCTTCCATTCGAATGTCGTCAAACTTGTTAAATGTTGATGCATCACGCGGTATAGTCATTATTCTTGCGTCACTTCGCGAGTTTGCACACCGCCTCAGAACGGAATGCGATTCTACATTCTGAGAGGGCATTCGTGCCGAAAGATTCATCGTTCCGATTGAATAAATTAAATATCGCACTTTCTTTTCCTCCTCTCTTCAGGCAGAGCTCTTCCATCCGTCAAGTGTTATCGCAATGATCTTTTTTGACTTGTAAACAGTAATAGGAGCCAGACTATTCGTATTGCGAATGAAGGTCGTGTGAGTTAGCAAGTAACTTGTAGAGATAAGCTTTTTCTGCATCTCCAGTGAGGCTCGCGTGGGTTAAATCGGCTTTAACGCGACGATATGAATTATGCTCGAGCTCTTTATAACGAAGGCAGTACATGCCTACATTGCGTCCTAAATTGGTGATTCACCGCGTACATCGAGGCTCGTAACACTCGGGATCGCTCTCGTTCCGCGCTCACCTTCTTCGGCCGTAACGGAGATTGAATAATTTCGCGAATCGCCGATTACGTATGCCGCTTTGTCATAGGCGGTTAGTGCGAAGGAGTTTCTCGTGTTTGTATCAAGCATCAGCTGATAATGGTGGTCGCAATGCTCGCGAAATATGGGCAATCTGATTCAGGTACGTCTGATGTAATCGATTGTACATCAGTTTCACAGCAGGACAC